CTGTAGAGTCTAATCTCTAATTGTCATACCACTCGAATTTCATATTAAGAAATTCTTTTAACCCAAAAAGCAAATTATGCTCCCTTCGAACTGGTTGTCTTTAAAATACAAATCTTGTGTAATCCCAGGCTATCTGTAATCAGAAGCACATTTAAAACTGGAATATAATCTAATTTCATTCATATGTGTTTCATAAACACATAATCCTTTCTGGATTACAATCTGCCATAAAAATTATGCATTTAATTATTCCAGCTGCTGTGAGAAAATGCTATAAACGATCGGCCACCTGTAGACCTCACATGCGATAGTCTAGTAGCCGGGACAACTTCTTTATGTTTACAGACGTGACGCAATGACGCAGCAGCATGCTCGAATTTCCCGCAAAAACCTACCCGTACCACTCAAATCAGAAAACATTATAAGATGAACGTTGTGAATTGGGCTAAAGTAAGGCGATAGTTTCAAACACGAGCTGGTTATGTACTTGCTCAAATATTGATTTTGGATCATTTTTAACCAAAAAAAAGTTACGGACTGCAGCTTTAAGGTCAGGAATCGGATACTTGTTGTCAAATTAAAATTTTGATTCCGCCTATCGATTCTTATTCTTCATCTGTGAGGACCGGACCTAGCGATCTGCCAGGACCTTGCTCGCTAATCTAAGTGCTCCAAAGTTTGGCTACATTTGCAATCAGAAGCCAAAAAAGCTAAGTATAATATCCGTGATAGCTAAACATGTTGCAAGAGAGGTGTCACCACCAACATGACACAGCACTTTAATTTAATAGATCGTTAAAGATCCCGAACACGATTCAAACCAACGTGATTCTATTCCTAAATTGCAATGATTCGTCTGTTTCATTCCTCCACCGTGTGCGATCAATGTTGTGATTACTTGTTTCGTCCGTGCAGAGTACGATCACACCAGTGTGATTTGAACATTTAAATTTACATTCGCACTGCCATTGACCTAACGAGAGCAGCTGTCTGTCATGAACGAAACAGCTTCACGGTCTTTTCAGCCACACAGTATCATTATTTCTGTTACAAACCTTCAAATCACAGACGTACTGGGATAAAAGTTTATAGTTCAGGTATAAACTGTGTGTACGATGTGTATGGTAGCAATTCAAATAGAGTAAATCAGCTTTTGAAAGTAATTTGACACTTCAAATTAAGATTTAGCGATTACATTGTTACGCCAGTAGGTGGCGAAAAGGGGCTGTTAAAATGTTTTTGTCTTCGAATCATGGAAGAGATTCATTCAAGAATCCAGTAATGAGTCATTTAATCAATAATTCATAAATGACATGTGATTTTGTTTAGTTGTCTAATGTTTTTTCTTCAAAATTATGAGAGAACCACTACTTCCATTGGGGGGGGAAAAAACTCAATTTATCCAGAATCATGCCGTTCTATTTTGTACACAAACAGGTCTTAAAGTGTGCAGTTTTTATGTAGCCTGTTGATTTTTGTTCATGGTATTCAGCTTCAATAAATGGTTTGCAAAAAAGAGACACAGGATAAATGTTTGATATCATTATTTAATCACATTGGAATCGAAACTGGGAATCGGAATCGATAAGCAGAATCGGAATTGATCAAATTCAAACGATACCCAACCCTATTGGACACCCCTGACCAACAGTATGGACTACACAGCTTTTTGTCCAGTTAGATTCTCTCTAGATTAAGCTGACATTGATTGGCAAGTAGCATATCATGATTAACGATTGTGGTGTAATTAAAGCCTATTGGCTAATAAAACCCACAACCTCTTCGATATGTCCTGAACTTTTAGTTTTGATACGTCAAGGTTGCAAGCAGTCGTGTTTACATAATTTGTTTGATTTTTAGAAAGAAAATATGAGTGTGTTGTTTGGTTTGTAGATAGTCACATGAGATTAGGGCAGTGGTGGAGCAGGTGGAATAATCCCACCATCTGATGTTTGCAAAGGAGCTGCTTCTTCTGAAAGAGAATCAAGATCTATAGACACTAAAGGTGGAGGAGGTTTAATTACAGTATCCGGGCCAGAAGACATAGATGCAGTGAGGTCATCAGTCTGCTTTGATTCTTTGCTCTCCATCACAGTTTCTTGTTCACTTCCTGACCTAGGTGTTTTGGTGTCAGAAGAGTCCACAGATTTTTGACCTTCCTGGATTGTGTGTTCTTTTGAGTCTTGAGCAGCTGTCGGGTTCCCATTGGGGGCTTGGACCTCATCTGGGTTTTGTCTGCCAAACGTGCTTCCTTGCAGGATGTCCCCCATGAGAACTTCCTCACTTGTGTTCCTCCCGAATGTCAGGTGTTTTGAGAGCCGTTGGGAGAGGTATCTGGAAATGGACATCTGGTTGAAACCTTGTCTATTGATGGCCTCGGATTCCTCCGTATTTGGCAGGTTCGGTTGAACGTCACCATCCAGAAACGGTGAGGGTCCAGCCCACTCAGGATTTTCTAGCTGCTTTCTTTGCATTTTCCGTTTCCTTACCAAGATAAAGATTATCGCTATGAACATCAAGACAAACGTGGTGCCAATCACAGCCGCCACAGCAGGACCTGGGTTTGCTTGCTGCTTGTCTTTTGATGAAGGTGGTCTTAGGTTTTTGGTGGTCTTTCTCATGGTCGTCAACGTCATCTTTGGCTTAGTCATAGATGAAGTCTCAAGCTCAGGGCCTTGAGTGCTTGTCCACTTGTCTGTGACTTCTTTCCTCTCTTTGGTTTCCACACCATTGTTGCTTCGAGTCCCTTTGAAATCTGTCACATTTGCTGTTGCGGAAGTGTGGGCATGAGTCATTGGGCTTGGTTGGTCTGAAGTCTCCGTTGTGGGCTGGGCTGTTGGAAGATCTTTATTTGTGTTTGTTTCGTTGCTATCCATGACGGTTTCATTTGCTTGCGCAACATAGAGCCCAGTGAAATCAGAAGTAGAAGGTGTTTCCTGAGTGGCTTTCTGTGTCTCAGAAAGTGCACTGCTTGTCTTTTCCTCTGGCGAAACATCTGCCCTTGTGGCATTGGGTGGTTTAGCAAAGACATTAAATTCTGTAGCATTCTCTGTCTGCAAAAGATGTGGTTTGTGGGAACGTTCTGTTGGTTTTTGTAGTTCCTTTTGTTGAATTACCTCGTCCTGCTTTTGCGTTTCAGGGTGTGTCGACATAGTAGTTAAGTTGTGTTTGTCATAATGTACATTCCTCCTTGTCCTTGATGCCACATCTTCACCATTGGCTGTCCTCAGCCTGGTCTCTTGCTGCTCAGAGTGACTCATAAGTTGTGGCATCTGAACATTTCTTGAAAGTGAAACCACGTTTTCTGTCCCAGAATCAGTAGTGTAGTCTCTCTGCCATGATGCATTTTCTGCTGTGTTTGTTACCGCATTATTCTTATTGCTGGTCGATAAATGGCCATTTAGACTCCATGGTAGAGAGAAGAGGAAGACAAGTGTGCAAAGAGTAGTCCTCATGGTGTCCTTAGAGAACCTTGCCAAAAAAAAAAGACATTTTTGCACAAGACTCAACAGATGTTTTTTTTCTCCCTAAAATTCTTATAGGCCATGTGTAGCATGCTCAGATTGAAACTTTTACGTTTTATCTTTTTCAAAAAGGCAAAACCTAATGTTTGTGTACACAAATGGTGCACACAATCTGTAAGTGAATGGCGATGCAGACTAACAATGAAAAAAAAGTAGGTTTTTCATTTATTTTACAGTCACTATTGGACAACTTCCAACACACTGTATGTAAATGTAGTTACTTTAAATGTTAAAAACATATACACTTAAATGTTTTGCTGTCTAGTATCAAGTAACAATTATTGTTTTATGCTAGACAAAACAGCAGAATATTTACTTACCCAGACATCCTCTGAAGCATTTGTTCAAGACTGAAGTATATTGAGATGAATACGGAACCGTAACTTCACTTGACAGGAAATGAAGCTGTGAAATGGCTGCATTCGTTTTTGCTATAGCAGTTGAAAGAATCTTTGGTAACAGAGTATGAAAAACAGAAGCACTTTTTTTCTTAACTCTGTTCTAGGATACAAGGCTCGTTTTTAAGGTATGTTTTAAATGATTGATGTAAAATTTTTTAAAAGAACAGTTATTAATTTTCTTCAAATTTATCTATAAGAATAAGAATTCTTTGAAGAGCAGAAGTCATCTAAAGGGAAATGATCTCATGTCTCTTTTTTGTCATCTTGGAAAGTTCCTTTCACTGAACACCCACTTTTCAACCACCAATAACATCTTCTAAATCTGGCAACTACGTTAACAGTAGCATTGCAACACTCTTGAAATATCAAAATCTGATTGTAAATGATAAACAGAACAAGCATTTTTGTCATTAGCATTTCATTTTATTTTTATATTGAGATGTCAGTGTTTTGATATAGAAAACTTGCTCATTGTTACAGGATTTTTAAGGCTGTGTGGTATTGCTTTACCCATTTTAAAGCTGAAGTGTGTGGTTTCTTTTGTCCCTGCTTAATATGCTATAGCAGTTGAAAGAATCTTTGGTAACAGAGTATGAAAAACAGAAGCACTTTTTTTCTTAACTCTGTTCTAGGATACAAGGCTCGTTTTTAAGGTATGTTTTAAATGATTGATGTAAAAATTTTTAAAAGAACAGTTATTAATTTTCTTCAAATTTATCTATAAGAATAAGAATTCTTTGCAGAGCAGAAGTCATCTAAAGGGAAATGATCTCATGTCTCTTTTTTGTCATCTTGGAAAGTTCCTTTCACTGAACACCCACTTTTCAACCACCAATAACATCTTCTAAATCTGGCAACTACGTTAACAGTAGCATTGCAACACTCTTGAAATATCAAAATCTGATTGTAAATGATAAACAGAACAAGCATTTTTGTCATTAGCATTTCATTTTATTTTTATATTGAGATGTCAGTGTTTTGATATAGAAAACTTGCTCATTGTTACAGGATTTTTAAGGCTGTGTGGTATTGCTTTACCCATTTTAAAGCTGAAGTGTGTGGTTTCTTTTGTCCCTGCTTAATATTTGGAGTCAAATATAAATAAGCCATTCATAGGTTGTTTCATCTACACTGTTTGACCGGCTAATGGCAATGCAGTTTGGTGACTAGTGGAAATTACAGTAGAAATTACAACACCGGTTTAGTTGTGGTGTGCTATTTATGCACAGAGGATAGCGTTCATCTATTTCGCTTCCATCTACAGCGAGTGAATGTGCTCTTCGATTTCTGGGTATGTGCTGCTGCTTGCCATATTAAAAAATTGCCAAAATGTGAGACAATGCTTTTGTTAAATACCAATTTCACAAACTATACAATCATACACAGAAATTTCATTTACTTATTGTCCTTGTCATCCTCACTAAACAGATCTCCAGAGCTGATTGAGATGAGAAAACTGCATTGACCTCATCTGTGAAAAGGTCAAAGTTTTCTATTTACTGACTATTTGACCCATCAAATTCATCTGATATTACAAGAAATTTCCTTTTAACAGGATGAGCAGAAATTGTAGTTAGTTAAACAATTCTGAAAAACCCTGTAAGGCTGCTTGTAACTGGGCACCTTTGTTAGCTTACTTTTTTACTGCAGTAGATGTTGAAGACATTTTAAAAAAAGGCAAAAAGAGAAGTAACATGCCTGACATCAGAGCCCAGCATACAAAAAAAGCTCTTATACTTTACACCATCAGAGGCATATTCTCCAAACTTATGGGATCTATGCAGGAATCCCTGGAGGTTGAGCTCTGCATGGCTGTCGGGATGCTCTCTGAATCACCGGCTGCGTTAGAAGTGGTGATGTATTGGCTCGGCCCTGCCGTGCCATCATGGATCTCTTCCTCCTCGCCGTCTGTCTTTACCTCCTCCAGTAGAACACTGGTTTCGCATGGACCCACAATGCCGCCCTCTCTTCTCTCGGTACCCCAGTAGCCCGTTCCACTCACCAGGTCTGCATTGCTTCGGGATGGACGAGGGGCCCGGTGATGACGTTTCAGGCTTGAGACGGTACATGCCAACATTATGGTGGCGGTTAGAAGGATCAGGATGATGCCCACAGCAGTTGCTGTTGCTATAAACGCTAGCTGGGCATCGATAAAACAGCTGATCTCGGCGGCACCTGTTGCAGGCAAACTAGTTGTCGCAAAAGAAATGTTGAGGACCTCGTACTCTTCTGTGGTGGTGTTGTACATCAGCTCATTTGTGGTCTGCATTGTCACTGTATTTTGAGATCTGTGTAACAAACAAGTACCATTATTCAACAGGTCATGTTCTTTTGAATATTCTATAGTAGTTAATTTAGCTTTTCAGTACACATTACGCTGTCTTAACCAGGCATGATGTAAAAACTTGGCTAATTGAGAAAAAAAACATTATTTATGTACACTACCATTCAAAAGTTTGGGGTCAGTAAGATAAGTTAATGCTTTTATTCAGCAAGGATGCCTTAAATTGGTTGTGAGTGACAGTAAAGACATTTCTATTTCTATTTCAATTTCAAATAAATGCCTTACTACTTAAGAATCCTGAATCACATTGGATCATGTTTCCACAAATATTAAGCAGCAACTGTTTTCAACATTGATAATAAGAAATGTTTCTTGAGCATCAAATCAGCATATTGCAATGATTCCTGAAGGATCGTGTGACTGAAAATTCACATGAAAAATTATCATTTAATTTGAGCTGCTTTACTATACCTATTGTCCTGTATTTTTGATCAAATAAATGCAGTTTTGGTGGGCATGAGACTTTTTTCAAAAACGTAAAACATTCTTACCGAACCCAATCTTCTGAACGGTAGTGTACATAATTTCACATGAATCGCTATGATTTTAATTAGTGTATATGGAGTTTAAAAAGCACCAAATCTTTTGTTAAATGAAGATTTAAAACTCTTTAGCCACTTTAACTGTATAATAAAAAACATTAACAAAGATAATGAGTAGTTTGTTTTCCTGCCTTCTGTTTTCCAAACTCTCAATTACACATTAGCTTTACAGATAATTGGTGAACTAATAAGTACTTACTAAAGTAGATATAGAGCCTTTCCTAGGGACTTATCCAGAGAGGGAGAGCTGGTAGATGATGAAGAACGACCTGAAGCAATGAGGCTTGATATATTGCGATACAGTGCACAATCACTTCCTGTCCCTCACGCTTGTTGATGTTATTTAGGTGTTCTTCAGTTGAGATGCTCTTGACCTGTAGTTACAACAGTAGAAAACAGGGCTGTATGTGATAAACAGCTTCCATTCTGTGTAAGCTGTCAGAAGTTTGCCATTTAAGGGAATTAGTACAGAGTACAGACCGCTCATGTTTGAACTGTTTGAAATGACTATAATGCATTGTTGTTTTTGGCATATATACAATTTTAGACATTATTCACACAATACACTTCTCAAAGATGTACAGTGCATTTCCTTTAGATGCAAAAACACATTCAAATTCAAAATATTGTTGTTTTTCTATAACCCAGAGTGTATATCCCAGAGTTTTACACTCCTTTTTTTGGCCCATTCTACCTAGGTGGGATCAACAGCTGTTCAGGTGACCTCAGCCGAGCGAACACGTGTCCTGGGACAGCCTGTTTTCCTGAACGACATATACTATGCTTCAGAGATCGAGGAGATATGCCTGGTGGACGAGAATCAGTTCACACTGACCATCGCTAACCAGGGCACCCCTCTCACGTTCATGCACCAGGAGTGCGAAGCCATCGTTCAGTCCATCATCCACATCCGCAAACGCTGGGAGCTCTCTCAACCAGACTCCATTCCTCAGCACACAAAGATCAGGCCTAAAGATGTTCCTGGCACCCTGCTCAACATCGCCCTCCTCAACCTGGGAAGCTCTGACCCCAGTCTGAGGTGAGAATCAGTTTACTTTGCCTGGCATCTTGGAGGATTGAGTTTTAGGCCATGCTCAGGCTGTTTTTCAGCCTAACAACTTGATAGTTTTGGGGGAATGGTCCAATGCGCCCCGCTGTTGTTGTTCTGACAATGAGCCTTTTATCTGTAGGCTTCTGTCTTTGTTCTGGTGAACTGATTAGAAATGCTAATACTGCTCCTTTGTGTCTTTAGTTCAACTGAGGCGGCTCTTGAACTTGCCGCCCCACAGTTAGAACCAGACAGAACCTGTTATGTAAAAATGAAATACACTTCAGTTTCTACAAAAATGGAAACTACCATATTAATGTAAATCATTGCTTCTGAAAATGACTTGCTCTTAACTAAAAACTCCTTCAACAGGTCAGCTGCGTACAATCTCCTTTGTGCCTTAACCTGCACCTTCAACCTGAAGATTGAAGGCCAACTCCTGGAAACATCTGGCTTGTGCATCCCAGCCAACAACACCCTTTTTATTGTGTCCATTAGCAAAACGCTAGCAGCTAACGAACCCCACCTCACTCTGGAGTTCCTGGAAGAGTGCATCTCCGGCTTCAGCAAGTCAAGTCAGTGTCACAAACAAACAGAGACTCATCGTTTTGCACATTGTTAGATGATTTGGTGTTAGTCAGATTTTTTTCTTGTTTTGGAAGAAATGGATACTTTTATTCAACAAGGATGCATAAAATCGACTTAAAGTGACTTTTATAAAACTAAGTATCTTGGAAAAAAGTATCATGGCTTCCACAGAAATATTAAGCAGCACAACGTTAATAAGAAATGTTTTTATAGCAGCAAATCAGAATATTATAATGATTTCTGAAAGATAGACACTCAATACTTGAGTAATGGCTGATGAAAATTCAGCTTTGCCAGCACAGGAATAAATTGCATTTAAAAGTATTTTAAAATAAAGTTATTTAATGTAATATTTCACAATATCACTGTTTTTACTTTGTTTGTGATCAAATAAATGCAGCCTTGGTGAGCCTAAGAGACGACTTCCAAAAATAGTAAAAAATCTTACTGATCCAGAAACAAAAATAATTTTTTAAATAAGATGATGGTCATTGCAAAGCACCATTTTTGTGTCATTTGTTACAAGAATGTTGTGTGTTTCCTTTTGGGTGCTTTAGGCATTGAGCTGAAGCATCTGTGTCTGGAGTACATGACTCCTTGGCTACGTAATTTGGTGCGCTTTTGTAAACACAATGACGATGCCAAACGGCAGCGTGTAACGGCTATCCTGGACAAACTCATTACTATGACCATCAATGAGAAGCAGATGTACCCCTCCATACAGGCGAAGATATGGGGCAGCTTGGGTCAGGTAAGTCTTTCAAACAATTGTAAAGTTTCTCCTAAGTTTAATTGAAGGAATTAGATTTTGTGAGCTTATTCCATCCAAAAAGTTTCAAACAGGCTTTACAATGACAAATGCCTTCAAACTCTAACACCCCTGTATATTTCTATAGTATTTCGGCCCAAGTCTATAGAAAGTCAACAAGTTACAGAATGCACCATTTTTTATGTTTATAGATCACAGACCTGCTTGATGTGGTGTTGGATAGCTTCATAAAGACTAGTGCTACTGGAGGTTTGGGATCCATCAAGGCTGAAGTGATGGCTGACACGGCTGTAGCTCTGGCTTCAGGAAACGTCAAGCTGGTGTCCAGCAAGGTAAGCACTTACTGGTCACCATACTATGTGAATTTATGTTTTTAATATATGATTTAATATGATGCTGTTCCTAAGATAAAATACTGTAGCATCTCAGTTAGTTTGTACTGAAATACTAAATCTTGCTGCATTGCTGAAGTGCAATGAATGATTTAGAGCATGGAAAATGTAACGGAACCAAAACCAAAATGTACCATTTCGTTTTTTTTTTCTTCCTACAGTAGTAACAGAATGTGCAGTGATTTTGTAAGCACAGATGCTATTGCATTTTTAGTTGTAATGTTTTAATGAGTTTCTTTATTTATTTTGCTTTATATATATATATATATATATATATATATATATATATATATATATATATATATATATAT